TTTTACTTATACAGCGACATTAAGTGTAAATAGGTAATTTTTTTATGTTTACTTTGGATGAATAAAAGAAACAATTTGAATGCATGCTTTGTTGCTGTGTTAATTTATTTAATATGTGACCCCCCCCCCCCCAAAAAAAACCCGAAACGAAACATTGGTAATTTGAATTGACCATAAATTAAAAATGAAAGTAGATCAAAATAAACAAGATGGATGCCAAGGGATCTAGAAGATTGAGTTTGAAGCGTATTAAGCTTTATTTAAGTGAATTTATTTATAATAAAAGGTTGAAACAGTAAGTAAATATTGTGAAATGATATTTCAGTTAACTTGTATTTCAAATAAACCTAAAAAATCGAAATTATATGTAACGTAAGATGTATAATACATCCAATAATTTACACAAACGTCGTATCGTCAGCCGTCCGACATGAATTTCAGCCGACTATGGTTATTATAAAAGTCGCTTATTATAAAGTTTTGGCCTGACAAATAAACTATGATAATAAACGAATTGTACTGTACTTAAAAAATGAGTGACAAAAATTGCTTCCTCTGTTCAAACTGCGATTTTGCATAAAAACATCTAATTATATTTGGCAACTTTTTATCAGTGATGCAACTTGAAGCAGGCAGAAATACCTTTGCAAATAATTTTTTTCTGTTTGACGAATTCATAACACATGCGTTTAAATTGTTTTTTTGTTAACATTTCAAGTTATAATTGATTAAATCTTAGTAAAAATAGCTTTCTATGAACCTACAGAAATTATATTTACCTTGTTCGGACAATGTCATACACCAAGGGAAGTGTTACAACTAAAATTCGCGACACGGTGTATTCTTGTCAACTCACGAGCAAATAAAATCAACAGGTCACAACTTCCGCTAAGTTAGAGTTATCGTTCTTTGCCTCCCCCTAGTGTTCAGTAGAAATGCTAAGAGGTTTGATGAAGGACGTGTGCATAACAATTCATTAGAAAAGAAACAAGTATCTTGAAGTGAACTATGTCTTGTTCAAGTAGGTTAATGAAGATGATCGACAAATTAATGAAATACGAGTTTGAAGTGGGGGTGTCTGAAATTGAGTTAGGTACCTTGTGGAAAGAAAAAAAGGGGTGCCATGTATAAGAAACAAGTGCCTGTGCAATGCTACTCGTCTTCAATGCATTCATGATTGTTAATGCTTTTCCATGTTTGTTTGTCTTCCGATGAAAATATTTTGCTTTTCATTTGGACTGCCTTGAATTAGTTCTTTCCAAAACAAAAAACCCTACATGTTGACTAATCAATCATACAGTACTTTTCTACACTGAAAATGAAACCTAGGCAAGAGATAATGCCGGGAACTATTCACACCGACTCTCTTGAGAATATCAACAAATAAATCAATTGACCAAAGTAATTAATATCTGAATGATTGTATTACCTGTATTGATGTGACATTCTTTCCATTTTGACCCTGAATTCGAGGGAACAACGACTTCTCTGAAAAATCTTATTCTTGAGTTTTCCGCCATGAGGAAAGTAATGCACCTCGAACCCGATTGAAATTTCGATTCAGTACGAAAACACCAGAAATACATTTTATAACAAGAATAAAATTATATTTTACGGGAATTTTATCATTTTTTAAATATGAAAAATGTAAATAAATAAATAAATAAATAAATAAATAAATAAATAAATAAACTCTTCCTCTTTGTCTCTCCCACTTAAAGTAGTGACCATAACCAAGTTGTCATTTTATTTTTTCACAATATATTTTATACAAAAAAAAATACTTTTAAACAAATATTGCAGTGTTATTTGTTGTTGCTCCTTATTCGTATACAGTATATCGCATCATAAAATGCATATAATTTAAAATTTAACTATAGCAGTTTGACATGTTTGAGATGAGAAATGCTTGTCAAAACCTAAAATCTCATACAGGCCCGTAGGAAACAATTTCAGTTGGGGGTGGGGGGGGGGGCAGCAATACATTTTCAGTTGGGGGCACTATCAACTACCAAAAATTCCTCGAGAAGCAAAAAACAAACAAACAAACAAACAAAAAACAAACAAAAAAATCATCAGACGTTTTTATTGAGGGGGCACAAGTATATAGTAGGCTATGTTTTCAACAGTCCCAAAATGATTGGGGGGACCCCCTCCCCCCATTCCTACGGCCATGTCATATATACATTCATTCGTTTATACTTCACATTTCATTCGAAAGACATTCAGGCGCGTAGCTGCCTATACGCAAATACGCAAGTGCGTACACATCATTTTCAGAAAAAAAAGAAAGAAAGAAAGAGAGAATTAATCGGAGAAAAAAAATCTCAGTACCATTCAACAAATATTCGTGTTTCAAATTATTCTGTGTCATACTGTGTCGATTTAAATTTTATATTATCATGGCTGTATAATAAAATTTGAAATCTTTTATTTAATAACTGCAAAATCCAAATAACTCATTCATTATTTTGTCATTGTTCTATCATACATTGATATTTTTTAAAAAGATCTTTGAAAGCTTAAATTTCAGCCACATCGTTGAATGCTATGATCTACTAGTGTGATTTACGATATTTTTTTGTTCATGGTTGAAATTTTGTATACGTGTTTTTAACATTGAAAATTATATGATACCAGTTAATATATATCGGTTAAATTTTTAGCCTCAATTATATGTACAATAAGTTTCCATGGAATATTAATTTTCGTTTAAACAATAAATATTACTATGTCTTTTATTTGCTAAACAAAAACTGAAAATGAATGAAATATTTGGTAAAACTCCGGAGCTTCTGGGCCCTCACCAGCAGGCACGTAGTATCAGCCCCCCCCCCCCCCCCCCCATTCACAACTTATTCCCAAAACCTAACCTTTTACTATTGGAAATGTACATTGAAAGGGTGGACCCCCACTCTTTGTTGTACCATTGATAAATCATGGTAATTTATTAATAAAAATTTGGTTTGTGAAAGTTGGACACCTCCTCCCCCCTCAACAAACACACATACACACACCCTCACACACACACACACACACACACACACACAAGAAATAGGACTTTTTAACAATCTTCCTTTTTCGTCCTTGCTTGTCAAAATTTTTAAAGTTGTAATTTTTTCCTGGCTGGCAAAAACTTTATAACGTGCCTGACCAGAGCCCTTGAACACTGTTGGGGGGGGGGGGTCAAGACCCCCCACCCAATCCCCTGCCGTTCTCTGCGTACACATCATTTCAATTCTGGCTACGCGCCTGACATTCCTTGGAAATTTATAGCTTCATGTAGGCCTCTGTTGCACTGTTCTGAAATTTTAAACCTATGATCAAATGGCCGGAAAAGAGGGGTGTACGCTGATGAAAATGTAGTTCAGGGACCACCGCCGAAAAATGCGTAAGCTGTTAGCATAATAATCGGCAGATCATCGTTTCAGAAAATTAAAGAAATAAAATAAAAAGAAAATCATCCGAAACAAAACCAGATTCTGTGCGACTCAAAAGCATATTTCATGAATATGTGGTCTTCCCGCAAGACACGTCTATTCGTCTGCACACTTGCTACTACTTCAGTGTGACCACTCGAGGTCTTTTCAAACAAAACAGTCTGTCGTTGCATCTCAGGATTTTTATTTCGTTCCTGTTCTGTTTTAATTTATTCCAATTTTTAAATTATATATGCATAAATAATCTTTGCGAGTGAAATTAATTGCATTCTATTTGTTAAGGTGCTCTTTAATTTTCTTGTATTTCTCTTTAATTTTCTTGTATTTCTCTCAACCCAATAAATCGAAATATCAACGGAAGTTGCTGTTTAGTCAGCATATATCAATTTAAAGAAATCTAGACTTATTTTTCATGCGCTTTTAAATGAAACGAGGAGCAAATTAAACGTAGGGGGGGAAGGGGGTTTTCTCTTCACTGATATTTGTTCTTGTATAGAACTTCACAGATCTGTCGAAGGGTGACCTACACAGAATTTCTTGAAAAATCCATTTTGAGATACAGCAACCGCATTTTGATAAATTACATCACAAAATAAACTAGAAATAAATCCACAGGACATGAATGCCCCGTCCAGGGTTCATAATAGTAATGCAACATGAAAATTTGTATTAGTGAATGAAGTTTGATGAAAATATCTTGAATAGTTTCTTTAAAACTGAGTTTTATACACAAAAAATATGAAAAAAAAAAGTAAAGTCAAAGGTTAAGGAAAGGTCGAGGTAAAAGAAATTGGACATAATTGAAATTTTCACCAAATTATATATGTAACAGTGAATAAACATACATAAAATACCCTAAATAGTTTTTTTTTAAACTGAGCTAAACATTTTTTTTTAAAAGTGAGATCAAGGTCACAGGGAAGGTCAAAGGCGAACATATTTGATGCAGGTGAACAGATTTCACTAAAATGTATATATTAACATATTAAGTTTGATAAAAACATCTTGCACAGTTTCTTTGAAATTGATCTAAACACAAATAAGAAAAGTGAGGTCAAGACTAGAGGAAAGGCCAAGGAAAAAAAAAATGCTGATATAGGCCTAGTTGAAAAGATCTCATCAATATATGTATCGACATATGAACAGGGACCTATATACTATAGCAAACTTAATTCATATCAGGGACCTATATACTAACTATACTAACTAGTATATAGGTCCCTGATATGAATTAAGTTTGATAAAAATATTTTGAATAGTTTCTTAGAAACTGAGTTAAACATGCACAGATTTAAGAAAAGTGAGGTCAAGGTCAAAGTCAAACATTTTTTGAATTGCCCTATCCAGCATAGCCTGAAAGTCTATAAGGTTTCACCTTGATAAAAATATGTTGAAGTTTCTTTCAAAAAGTGTGACAGATGGAAAGACGGAAGACGGACATGACAAACACTATACATGCCCCGGCCATACTCATATCGTGGCATAAAAAAATGAATACTTTCCCGCCATTTTAATTTGCACATGATGTTACGAATTTTACACCATATCCGGTGACGTCAGGGTACCTTGCGCTCTGAACTGTAATGGCGAACCCCATAAGAAATACGTGAATGGGGCTTTGACATGTCGAATGAAGGGGGTCTAGTGAACGTAAAACATGGCGGCCCCCAATGTAGTACACATGTGCCGGGTCTGGATGTAAACATAGACCTACCAGATGCGTTCTCAATTAAAAACGAGCTTCTCACGGAAGACCAACTTGTTGAACATCAAAAAGGAATACAAAATGGCGACAACTTACAGTTTCTATCATCGCCATCGGACGTAGATTTAGATAGTTACGAAAGGGCTGTAGTTGAAAACAATACAGAATGGTTGAAGTCGCGATGCAGAAATATAGAGGCTATAGATTTTGACATTCCAACAAGTGGCAACGATGGAATTGAATTGTTCGGTACATCGCTATCGGACACGACAGATTTGCCACTATGTGCTGAGGGATCAGTCCTTCCATTGGAAACGTCAAGTTTGCTGCTGGGAGGGACAAATGGGTCCCTGTTGTCGACCGCAAGCTCTGGAGGAATCTCTGGGTCTAATTCCAGTATGGCTTCTATATTTTCTCAATCCCAGTCTACTGGTTGCAGTACAAGTATTTCGGAAAAGGATGTCTCAATATTTGAGGATAAAAATAACATGTTAATGACTTCCCAGGAACTTGAAAGTATGCCTGACAGGGGATTAGAGTTTGAAGCTTCAGTAGGCCCAAAGAGTTCCAACTCGGACATTTTCTCAAAGTCAACCACTGACATTACTTCATCTGTTTCATTATTAAAAAGCAAGACTCAGCAAGTCACTAAACTAGCACAATCAGTTGGTGCTTCGAACAGTGCAATAACTGTAACTAATAGTAAACTGAATGTGGTTCAAGTTCAGCAACCCATGAACATGCATACTGTCGCACCAACAAGTCTCACATCTGGCACTTTACAGATTGTGCCGAATCAGCTCATCACCATTCAAAACCCAAAAACGGGTGGAAATAGTGACAAACAGGCCCCAGAAATCAAGTTTGTACCTGTACAGAATACCACTCAAATTCTAGTGAACACCAGCCAGGGGCAGCAACTCCTGCACATCAACTCCAATCAGCTCCCTGGGAGTGATTCCATGACGAGGCTTGTACCTGTCAATCAGATGGCGAAGAATGTGGACAACTCTAAAGCCCAACCCATTCAAACTGGTGAATAAAAGAGCATCATGATTAGTTTTATAGTGATTTATTGCAAATTAAGGATACAGGAAGAATATTATATTTATAGACCTTGTGTTCATATTTTTTTATCACTTGCAATTGTTTTGACTACTATTTTTGGAATGCATACTTTACATAACCAGGTTCCTGAATGCAATATTTACTGATTAGAAAGATCTCTCCATCTATGCAGTATGTGTAGAGTGGTGTTAGTACATAGAAGATATTGCATTGCAGAATACATATTTATTATGATTTCCCTTATTTTGCAGGATTCCTGATTTTGCCAGCTAACCCAGGAGGAAGTACCATTCTAACCACAAATTCTGGTGAAGCAGGGGGTCAGACGATGATAAACGTGGACAACTCCATTACAAAGGTAAGCAGTAAGCATACATCACTAATAATCAAGGCCACAATGGACTAAAGAGGTAAAATTAAGTTTCATGAATTTAGTTATAGATGTACCCCTACTAAAAACAAACTCTTCTGAATTAAAACTCAACTATTTCTTCTGATAATGTGACATGAAATGTATGTTCTTGTAGCCTCCCATGTTCTTGAAGAATCCCACTGGAGGGCCCCACAAGTGGGTGTACATGTACCTTTGTACTCATCCAGGATGTGACAAAATTTTCAGGAAGCTTTCAAAAATGAGGATACATCTGATGAGTCACACAGGGGAAAGACCTTTCAAGGTAATTACAAAAAAAGTGCAAAAGGGGGGGGGGGGTGTTGGGGGAGTACAAGGCACTGAGGAGCAAATGAGAATTTAAGAACATGTACAGTGTCACAACTATTGGTTCATACTACATATTTGTTTACAGTGTAGCAAACCAGGCTGTGATTGGGCATTTACTACGTGTTACAAACTTAAAAGACATGAAGAATCTCATCAAGGAAGGAAAGACTTCCAGGTATGCCGTTTGTCTTGTGTTCTCATTTTAGATCATATTTAAAGGTTTAAGAGTCAGTCTTGATGACACTGATTTATAGTTACTACCAAAGCATAACTTTGCACCATTTGTTTTTGCATAGCTTTTTCCATAGTTAAATTTTCAAATGTTTAGAACTCTGCTTAATGATTACACCAAATAGCTGATCTAGCTCTAATTTTAAAGATGTAGCTTTATTTATATTTTTTTTTTCAGTGCGACTACCCAGACTGCGGTAAGAGATTTGCTACATCATATAACTTGAAATCTCACAAGAAATCTCATGAGAAGCCATGTGAGCCTTGTTTAGAACCAGGGTGTAACATGAAATTTCCAAACCGTAGACAGCTGAACCTTCACATGAAAACACATAATGGATCTGAAAAGAAATACAAGTAAGCATGAGGTTTTACAGTTGAACTTCGGTATCTCGAAAACCGATATCCCGAACACCATGGATATGTCAAAGTGATTTGGAGGTCCCAACCACTTATTCCTTAAGTATTTTACCCTCGATATCTTGAATCCTTGGATATCTTGATTTTTTTGTTCTTGGTCCCATTGAGTTCAAGATAATGAGGTTTGACTGTATATGATGTTAAAGTTAATGTATGTTTGTATTAATTTTCTGAATAGGGTTGACTTTTAGAAAGCATTGCAAAGGAAAACAAAATGGCAAAGTTAAGCCTCTAAACTGGTAATTATACCCCACGCAACAAGTTGCGTGAGGTATAATGTTTTTGACCCGTCCGTCAGTCAGTCAGTCAGTGTGTCAGTCAGTCAGTCAGTCAGTCAGTCCGTCAGTCCTGTTTTTTTGTCAGCGCAACTCCTCATAAACCGCTGCACAGAATTTCGTCAAACTTTGCAGATATTTAGGACACAATGTGTAGATGTGCATATTACCAGGAAATTCCGATTCCTTTATTTTTTCTCGGAATTTCGGCACTTTTCAACTTAGATTTTTGGCCATATCTTGAATATGGAGATGAACAGTTTGTCAGCGCAACTCCTCATAAACCAATGCACAGAATTTGGTCAGACTTTGCAGATATTTAGCACACAATGTATAGATGTGCATATTACCAGGAAATTCCGATTCCTTTATATTTTCTTGGAATTTCGGCACTTTTCAACTTAGATTTTTGGCCATATCTTCAATAGAAAGATGAACAGTTTGTCAGCACAACTCCTCTTAAACCGCTGCACAGAATTTGGTCAAACTTTGCAGATATTTAGGACACAATGTGTAGATGTGCATATTACCAGGAAATTCCGATTCCATTATTTTTCTGGGAATTTCAGCACTTTTCAACTTAGATTTTTGGCCATATCTTGAATATAGAGATGAACAGTTTGTCAGCGCAACTCCTCTTAAACCGCTGCACAGAATTTGGACAAACTTTGCAGATATTTAGTACACAGTGTATAGATGTGCATATTACCAGGAAATTCCGATTCCGTATTTTTCTGGGAATTTCGGCACTTTTCAACTTAGGTTTTTGGCCATATCTTGAATATAGAGGTGAACAGTTTGTCAGCACAACTCCTATTAAACCGCTGCATAGAATTTGGTCAAACTTTGCAGATATTTAGCACACAATGTATAGATGTGCATATTACCAGGAAATTCCGATTCCTTTATATTTTCTTGGAATTTCGGCACTTTTCAAGTTAGATTTTTGGCCATATCTTCAATATAAAGATGAACAGTTTGTCAGCACAACTCCTCTTAAACCGCTGCACAGAATTTGGTCAATCTCTGCAGATATTTAGTACACAGTGTGTAGATGTGCATATTACCAGGAAATTCTGATTCCATTATTTTTTCTGGGAATTTCGGCACTTTTCAACTTAGGTTTTTGGCCATATCTTGAATATAGAGATGAACAGTTTGTCAGCACAACTCCTCTTAAACCGCTGCACAGAATTTGGACAAACTTTGCAGATATTTAGAACACAGTGTGTAGATGTGCATGTTACCAGGAAATTCCGATTCCGTATTTTTCTGGGAATTTCGGCACTTTTCAACTTAGGTTTTTGGCCATATCTTGAATATAGAGGTGAACAGTTTGTCAGCACAACTCCTATTAAACCGCTGCATAGAATTTGGTCAAACTTTGCAGATATTTAGCACACAATGTATAGATGTGCATATTACCAGGAAATTCCGATTCCTTTATATTTTCTTGGAATTTCGGCACTTTTCAAGTTAGATTTTTGGCCATATCTTCAATATAAAGATGAACAGTTTGTCAGCACAACTCCTCTTAAACCGCTGCACAGAATTTGGTCAATCTCTGCAGATATTTAGTACACAGTGTGTAGATGTGCATATTACCAGGAAATTCTGATTCCATTATTTTTTCTGGGAATTTCGGCACTTTTCAACTTAGGTTTTTGGCCATATCTTGAATATAGAGATGAACAGTTTGTCAGCACAACTCCTCTTAAACCGCTGCACAGAATTTGGACAAACTTTGCAGATATTTAGAACACAGTGTGTAGATGTGCATGTTACCAGGAAATTCCGATTCCATTATTTTTGCCTTAAGAGTTTTGCCTTTTATTGAAGAAACTTTCCAGCTAGGTAATAAGAAACTCCACTGGAATCAGCTTTTTATAATGAAATTCTATGTGAAATATTTTATGACCTTAAAAGACCCCTATTGATTTTGAGATCAAAATATTAATGGTTTAACACAAACACACACTCACACACACACCATCTTCGATAGTTCTCTCCCCCCCCCCCCCCCCCCCCCCTTCAAATTGGTGTGCTTTGCCTTAAATAATTTCATAAGTACAGTATATAAACAGATTCATATGACTACATCATAATTTTGTTTCCATCAATTATTTCAATGTGTAAACTGTCATGTGTTGGACATGGACTTACACTCATTAACAAATCGAAATCACTGAGGAATTTAAATAACAGTTTGTCAGCATAATTCCGGCACTGAATTTCCTGAAACTTTGTAGGTATTTCAGAATAATGTATAGATTTGTATATTACCAAGAAATTTTGATTCCATTATTTAACTAGAAACTTCAGCCCAGTTAAATTTGTAACATACAAAGATTTGAATGTCCTTATATGCAAGAAGTTTTGATGTGATGATTTTTTGCAAGTAATTCCCCTTTTTTGAATTATACTGTGTATTTAAAATGCACTATGCCATTCATTACGTGTTGCATTGTCGAGTTTTGGGGAAGCGTGGGGTATGTGAGCTTGCTCACTTTTTCTTTCATTTTAAGTGTGTAATTTTAACTGTGATTGGCTTCATTTTTAGGTGCCCAGTAGATGGCTGTGACAAGACTTTCTTCTCTCCTCACTGTATGGGGTCACACCCACGTACACATCAACAGGACCGGGATTTTCGGTGCAATTATGAGGGCTGTACCAAAGTGTACTCCACTGCCTGTCGCCTCAAGCAGCATATGAGATCTCATACAGGAGAAAAACCTTTTGTCTGTTACTTTGAAGTAAGTTTTTTCTCATATTGCATTAGTCTGAAGCATGATTTGCAGATTTGTTGTTGGAATTTTTATGCCCTGAGATTGAAGATTTGCGTTTATCAAACAGATCTTGTTTTCCGTTAGAAAATACATGTCTTTATGGTTAAATTTCTTAGGAGCAATTTTTATGACTCAGTGAATTTTTAAAACATCAGAAGGTTATAACTTTGAAGATGGTAATCTGAAAGCTTTGAAGAGTTTTACAGTATGTGTTGGTCTTGTATTGTAAGAGTTATTATCAAAAGCTGCAAAAAAAACCATGAGTCCATCACCATAATAATAAAATTTCAGGACAATACAATAGCTGTTTATAATAGAAAGACTTGGAAGACATCGCGATATTGTGAAAGTTGAAAATGGGAACATACATGTAAATATGTCATGGTTCTCAAGAAATTCAGAAGTATGTCAGTGTGCAGAGTACATTTAAGTAATTTCTTTTTCTGAAATAGAATTGTGGATGGGCATTTACTACTGCCAGTAAATTGCGTCGACATCAAGCCAAACATACAGGACTGCGTAAATGGAAATGTCCGGTGGAAAACTGCGGCCGAGCTTTCATGAGGTCAGAGCACCTAAAAGGTCACATGATTACACACAGTGGGAAGAAACCATTTTCATGTCCTGTTGAAGGTAAGCACATTCTTAAGAAACTTTCATTCTGTCTAGAGTTTGTATGATTTTGAAAAAAAAATTGTTAGAATTGAAAATGCATTTTCTAACAGGATGCACTGCAAAGTTTGTTGCCAAAACAAGCCTGAAGGTTCACATGAATCGGCATGAAAATCAAAAAGTGGAGAAGATAGCGTATCACTGCCCTATAGAGGGATGCATGAAGAAGTACTTTTTAAAGTCCAAGCTGCGGGAACACATGGTTCAGAAACACTTAAGCAGTATTTCCAGTAATGGACAGGTCACTCAACTGGACCTGGAGCCACTGCTGGGGGGAGAGTTACAGGACATAGGAATGATGACCTCAAACACAGATGCCAAAACTGTCATCCAGACAGTTCAAATCAACAGTAAGAAGATAAACAACAGAAAAAAAAAGATTGTTATATACATAATCAGAAAACAAAAGTGAAAGTTGAACTTTTAATGATGCTTATTTGTAGATCCAGGAGGAAGCCAAAACCTAGAACAGTCAGTCCAGGCAACAGGTACTCAGTCAATATCAAAGAATTGACAAATACAAAATTGCATAAAATGATGAATTAAGAATTAAATTGGAGGACTTTTTGAAAAAAATTCAAATTTCTGTTTCTTACTATTGGTAATATTTCAACAGAACCAAAGACTACGATGGCTATGCTGACCATTCCTGCATCAGAGCAAATGACCATTGACCCATTAGAATTCATCACCAATCCCGCAGGTAATTCAACATTTAATTGTAATGCATGCACGTGCATATAAAGATACCAGTTCTTAAAATTTTTTGTAGTTTCTTTCACGGCAGTTTATTGGTGTACTTTGGGGAGATGTCAATGTTTAAAGTATTTTGTTGTAAAGAAATCTTGATATCTGAATCGTTTAATTTCTTCTATTCTTTGAACTTTAACTTTCTTTCATTTACATGAAATTTCCACATTATGATAAAATAAAAGTGATGCTCAGCACAATAATTGAAGAAATTTATTGTTTTAGATTCTTCTGGAGAGATTCCACAGATCAGCCAGGCTGTTCTGAATCAGCTGATGTCGGGGTTAGAGAAACCGGAGCCAACAACCAATCAAACAGCCCCCCACACTCGTAAGATTTCAGAAATAGACGGGCATATTTATTACCTTAGCTCCAACTGTTTACTGAAATTAGTTAAAAAAGGTTAAAAATGATATTGATATTTGCATGCTTTTTTATGTTTTTTTTTTGTTTAAAGGATTTATGTGTTTAAGAGTAAAATATAAATCAAAAATAGAATTATGTCAAATGTAATATGCATGTAAAAGTCTATAATCTCTATCGTTATTACCTCTATCTACAGAAAGCATGGCTGGTCCAGTGGTATTGGAGAATAACAGTGGATCTGCGCGGACTGATTACCTCAGTAATCACAACCTGAGCTATCGAGCCAGACAAAGGAGACAACTCCTGAAGGAGAAAACCTCCACTGCTGTAGAGAGTCAGGACTACACAGACCAGGGTAAAATAAGCCTTCTCATTTACTTATAAAAAGGGGGAGTCGTAAAAAACTATTGATGGAAAATCATGTCTTCCATCTCACACTAGGGGGTTTAGATATTTCTGCCACAATTATTTTAGGGCCCTGCATGAAAATGAAGGAGCTCTATAGGAATTACATTGTCCATCTTTCTGCCTGTCTGTCCATCAACATTTTTATTGTGGCGTGAAAACTCATACCAACTCAAACAGTTTTCAACAAAATGTCTTTCAATTTTGTACATATTTTACTACAAGAGCAACTTAATATTTTCAAATTTGTACAGAAGTACTCGACTATAAGATCAAGTCACTGATAGAACTGTCTGTATGTATGTTTGAATGTATATCCTTGAAATTTTTGTTGCAGTTCAATAACTCGGTTTTCAATGCAACATTTTCAAATTTTACACAGTAGAACTTTACTGTAAGAGAACGACTTTGCCCTTAGTGGGGCCCTCTCTGACTGTGTCAGTTTTCTAGTCCCTTCAGTTTTAATTGCTAAGTTGATATACATTGAGGTATTAAAACCTGAATCTAGGAGGATGTGTAAACAATGTATATGGTAATGAGTTTATTTTGATCAAAATTTAAATTGAGAATTGTAGCAACCTTTTTAATACATGTACAATATTTATCTTGTAGAGAATTCTGAAGAGAGTTTGCTGGCACAGGCTTCGTCAGTTTTCCTTTCTCCCGAGGAGGCGCCATCTTTCAGTGCCTCCGCAGACCATGTGACCTTCAGCCCCCCGGCTGACTCCCTTTCCTCCCGAGGGATCACCTTTAGGGACCCCGAGACAGGGGTCATGTACGTACAGACACAGCTGTTACAGGTCAGTGTACCATACCATTATCTCTATCATCTACACTCTGATATAAAAATTATCTGGATCAGAGAACTTTGACACTTTCTCTAGGGGTTTTGCATAATATAAACTGGAAAATAAAATCTTTCAGATTTAAAAAGGCATTTGCATTGCTAAGTAGTAAAAATAGTAATACCCTTCGAGTGAGGCATCAAGAAGAATATTTTTTTTTTATTTCAGGATGACCCTCCTAGTACAGTTACAGATTTATATTCAGATGAACAAGTGTTGGGAAGTGAAATTTCAGATCTAACTGATAATTCTTCCACTAGTCTAGACCAGTCAATTCAAGATTCAGAGTTTACAGGGTCAACTATCAACTTTCAAGACCTCCATTAACCAGAGAGATTTAAAGGACTTGAATGTTCACCGGATATTGTAGACAGTGATTTGTTATTGTGAAACATACTGCATATCCATTGCCTGTTGACTGTGCTAAAGAACATGTTCATCTATGTGGTGCAAGATGTAACAGTATTTTACAGGGATTGATATGTATGCAGAATGTCTTGTCCAATGTTATTTTACATTTCTGCATGCAGATCAGCAATATAGGGCAAATACTGGAACTTTTTGATTTTTTTGTTTATTTGATAGAATTTAAGTGAACTTTATCCATTTGCTTCCAAAATGTGCTCTTCGAACAATTTCAATCTCTGAGGACATAATACATAAAAAGTACAATATATACATGTAACAAGGTCTGTGTTTACAGTTTTATATCAAGTTTAATTCACATACTAGGACTGATTTTTTTTTAATAAAGTACTATGACATGCATAAAAGTGCTATAAAAAAAGGTAAGATTTGCAGAAATTCAAGCAATGTACAGTATATAGAGCTGCTTGCCTGCATTTATTATTTTCAATACTATCTGCTTTAGGTAATCGTTGTGCATTATAAGAAGTTTTATTAAATGTCGGTATAAAATAAAACAAGTTTTACTGAAAAAAAACCTTGCTGGCATATATTGTATTAAATCTTGCTTTATCCAATTGAATCTATCAAACAATTTAATGCTCCGTCCATCTAGAAATGCTGCTGTATTTTTCCAAAATAAACAAATACTTCTAAATTTAGGCAAAAATTTCATTTCAAAGTTCTTCACAAATTCTATAGATATTGGAGGAGGTGAAAATATAGGAAATTGACACAGAATTCCATTAGTTTGGACTTATTTTGTGGTAGAGTGGATTACTTTTTGAGTAGTGTTAATAGGCCTCTATTTTTGTCCGTTACTCAATGATGTTATACAGCAATGTCTGTGTGAATATTGTAATTGCTTGTTGTTAAATTGTTACTGTAATAAAATCAGTAAAGTACTAGTTATCTTCAGTTGTACCTGAGCTGTTATTTCATACTTGATCACTCCTTCAGTACTAAGTTCAGTTGGATATACATGTACATTACTCATGTGTCCTTGCTCAAATAGGGAATATTATACAATTATTGCATGTTCGTGAGGGAAATATGAAGATTTATTCAGCCAAGGAAAATCATATTCCCCGAGGGCTTATGGATAAATCTTCATGTTTCCCGAACATTCATGCAATAAATTGTTTATTATACCGAAACAAGCAAAAACTTTAAAAATAAACATAAACTTTCAAATTCAGCACCGCTCTTAAATTCACTTTCAATTTTTAATGTAGTTTTACTGAAACATTTTACAGAAGTCCAGCAACAATTTTGTGACGTAAAGAAGGCTATTGTGACGTCTACCGTATATACTCGCCTATAAGTCGGTCCACCTATAAGTCGGTTGTATTTTTTGAGGTTATTTTGGAGGGATTTGCCATTGACCCGCTTATAAGTCGGTACAACTTTTTGCCAGAATCGGTTGACATTTTCAAATTAATGCTCTAATGTTTAAACCTGGTTTCGATTAATATTTTTAGAAATGACGCCGATATTTAAATTTAAATCATTAAGAAAAATACATAATGCACACTTAAGATAAAGTTATTAAAATATGTAAACACTTGTACTTTATGTATAATCTCAGAATACATAAATGATATGATATATCCAGACTTTGTTCAACGATAATTGTGGGAAATGTTTATTAAATACTACATTTCGCCGTCCAGAAAAATACTAACCTTTTTATGACTCGCCTATAAGTCGGACATGGAGTTTTGAACCAAAATTTAACTCCCAAAAAACCGACTTATAGGCAAGTATATACAGTACATGTACTACTCTCGGGAGTTTTCGTTCAACGAACGATAACTATTGCGGGAAAATGCATAAGGTTTCCGAAGAGGTTGAATATGATGAAAAGCATGACGACAGGGAAATATTAAGTTTTATGGCCCTGTCACGTGATAATCAAGAACCAATCAGATAGTGCATTGTATAGAATAATTATAATGAGGTATAATAAATAATTTTATTATACTTTCATGTTAAATAGTCAAATTTGATTGGCTTTAAAAACATTGGTTAAAAAGTAGTATTACCCTACCACATGCATAAACCAAGCCCTCCGGGTAACATTACATAGCAAATGTTGAAAATGCATGCAAGATGAGGGGTATTGGTATAAAAATTGTTAACTGCACAGAATGTTTTTGTGAATGGTTCACCGTGACCTTTTCTTTATATGCATGCTGAATACATTCGGTATAATAAAAAAAAAATATTACTTGTTTTTTTATGGTAAATGTGAAATTGTTATCCCTTCAAAGCCATTGTTGACCTCGCCTTCCCCTCGGTCAACAATGGTTTTCGTGGGATAACAATTTCATGTTACCCTGAAAAAAAATTTTTTTTAGAAGTTAAGATTGACCTTTAATTCTCATCTTTCTACAAGTTTGCTTGGTGGCCAAGTGAAGAAGCTTATTTGATTTTTGGGTCAAAAGTCAAGGTTATAGTAGGTTTTAATTTCTGGGCACAATCTGAGGGGTTCCTTTTGAAATATCAAACTTGAGTCAAAAGACAGAAATAAACCTTGACAATGACTTCTAATTAAACAACTTGAAGCCTGCAGCTTGTACAGCATTCTTTTTACATATAAAAAATGAACGAATTTTGGGAATTTTATAACTAAATTAGGGCAGTTTTTGACATTTACATGGATTCACCTTTGCAACTTGAAAAATACTTTCAAGTACAGAAAGGGCGTCTTGATACATTAGAACTACTTGTCAACTGCTTTCATTGCATAATCTAAACAAGAACTACAAATTAAATTGACACTGCTTGAGTAGGAATATAAAAACCATAAGTCTCTGACGAGATTGTAGCTCTACTGGTTTGTACTTATAACAAAGGAAGAGAAAAGTAGCCAATCGACTTGAAACTTTGCAACAGCAATAAATGGAATAATGATCCTTGGTTGTCTCTTTTTATGGCAAGATTTAATGCAATCAGACTAAAACTGTAGGAGGAGTAGCCTTATAAAAGAATTTGACAGAAATTTCAATTTTAGTAACCATGGCAATGTCATACATTAAAATAGACAATTATGTATCTTGATGTAGACTCCTTGCATTTCAAGTTATATTAAAATCATATTAAACTGTAGGAGGAAGTATTTCCAGAAATTTCTATTTTAGTAACTATGGCAAAACGGTTGATTGAAATCAAAAACAGTTATACAGATTTATTTATCTTGGTGTAGTCTTCTTGTGTGCCAAGTCAGAAATCAGACAAACTGTAGGAGGAGTAGCATTTTGAAAGTATTTCCCAGAAATTTCTATTTAGTAACCATGGCAACACCGTTTATGGAAATCAAACACCGACATACAGAATTATGCATCTTGTGTAGTCTACTTGTGTGCCAAGTTGTATTGAAATCAGACCAAAACTGTAGGAGGAGTAGGGTTTTGAAAGTATTTCACAGAAATTTCTATATTTAGTAACTATGGCTACTTGTGTGCCAAGTTATATTGAAATCAGACCAAAACTGTAGGAGGAGTAGTGTTTGAAATTGTTTACAGACAGACAGACGGACGGCGGACACCTTACTATCACAAAAACTCTTCTGGTCTCTGACCAGTAGAGCTAAAAATTGGATCAAGTTCACTACCCTTGAGCACTCTGGATTAAGTATGAGCCCAACTGAGCCAAGGGGAGAGAAAATATGTTCTGAACAAGGATTTTACACATTTTTTTTAAACATGACCTTTGATTGAAAAACTGGTTAAGTTCATTGCACACCTATTACCAAAGGCCACTCTATAGATGAAGTTTGAGACTATCTGGGCGAAGGGGAGAAAAAATATACTCCTGACAAGGTTCTTCGACCTTGATTTTGATCTAGATAATTGGTTCAAGATTATGCATACCCTCCATCCATTGGCACTCTATAGGTCAAGTTTGAGACTGACCGAGCCAAAGGGAGAGAAAATGTACTCTGAACAAAGATTTTTACACTGAGGTTTTTCAAACAGATTTTTTATACCAGAAAATTGGTTCAAAAAACAAATCACTGCACACCCACTCTCTACTCATGGGCACTCAAATGGTGATGTTTGGGCTAGATGGGCCAAGGGTTTTCTAACCTTGACCTTTTACCTAGAAAATTATTATCAAGGTCACTGCACACCCTCTATCCAAGAGCACTCTATGGGTGAAGTATGAGCTAAACTGGGCCAAGGAGAGAGAAAATATGCTCTGAATAAGATTTTAACACAAGTGGTTTTACCACCTTGACTTTTGATTGGAAAATTGATTCAAGGTCACCTGCTACCCACGGGCACTCTGAATGAAGCATGAGCCCAATTAAGACAAGAGGAGAGAAAATATGCTCTGAACAAGGATTTTACAAAGAGTTTTTTTTTTACCTTGATCTTTAATTAAAAATTGGTTCAAGGTCACTGCACACCCGTTACTCATTGGCAATCTGTGGGTGAAGGTTGAGACTCTCTGGGTCAAGGGGAGAGAAAATATACTCTGGACTAGGGCTTTTTTAATTCAGTGATTTTTTGACCTTGACCCTTCATCTACAAAATTGGTTCAAGGTCACTGCACACCCGTTACTCATGGGCAATCTGTGGGTGAAGGTTGAGACTCTCTGGGCCAAGGGGAGAGAAAATATGCTCTGTACTAGATCTTTTTTAATTCAGTGATTTTTTTACCTTGACCCTTCATCTACAAAATTGGTTCAAGGTCACTGCACACCCTCCACCCACAGGCACTCCATATTTGGGCTAACCTGGACCAAGGGGGAAAGATATATGCAATCTATTGGTGAACTTTGAGCCTGACTGGGATAAGTGGAGAAAATATGCTCTGGACAAATGAAATTGGATGGACAGACAGATTGAACACTAGTGCACCCACACAATGGGCCCTAATTAGGAATTTAGGGCAGCTGGGCAGTCCGAGTCTGCCAATTCTCAGTTTGTACTTGATAAACAGGTGCTAGGTGGCTACATGAAAAAGTCAAATGTCATCAATAATGTGAATATCAGTACTAGTTCAGAATTTGAGAAATAATATCTGTACATTACACATTGAAAGGTATTCTCTGGTTTGTGTGCTCTTCATTCAAATCAATCTAGATGCCAGATATAGTGATGTTTCTACAAACTATATTGGAAAGTAATATATCTAAATCACATAGTGTTGTCAACAAGTACTAGGTTAAAGATGCAAGTATCAGTTAGTAAAACTGCTACTCGTTTACACAGATATATATACATTTTATAAGTAGGAAAGAACCTTTGCTTTTAAGTGTACATGTATACTAACACGTCACCAGTTTTATTTGTCATTAGTCTAGATCTAGAATTTCACAAATATGATGGATTTATTTTGATTACTTTTCACAATTTATCTAATTACGGTAATGGCTTTGATTCCCAAGGAGTGTACAAATTTTGAAGACCTAATTTAATTATTACCTTATCAATTACCTGATTTAACAAGATGCTGCCCCAGAGAACAAAGGCTGATGTTAAACTCATAAAGGTTAGATGATTATGTGAAATTACAAACATGCAAAACAGCCATTAACTTCTGATTGTAACATTCATTATAAATAATTGTGACAACGTTTTCAAACTGGCATTATTCATAAGATTGCCATGGATTTCTAGGTCTTGTCTATAAATAGTAAACATGACAATAGATTACAAATGTAACTGTCGAGGTTTATTTCATTTCATTAGAGATTTCTTATCAACAATTTGACCATAAAGTTTGTATTTTTAGATAAAAGTAAGACAGTATAACTCTTCAGAGTGCATGTATACCTCAGACACAGGTACAAGTATGTATGACCATAGACTCGGGTACACGTATGTGTGATGTCGACATTGCAATATCACAAAAGGGTACTTTGTGAGTGACATCACACACAACACAATTTTTCCTTAAGA